CGTTTGTAATATATTTTCGAGGGCTCGTTTCGAGGACAGATGATCTGAGGGTTTCAACCGGGACACGATGCAACCGCGCGTGTGTGTGTGTGTGTGTACAGACGAAACAAGATTCTCGGGAGATAAAAACGGGGAAAAAAAGAAGAAAAAGAGTTTAAAAATGAGAAAGATGCGACGTATAATGTAAGGTAACCGCGTCGTGTGTGGTGGAGTACCGACATTGCGTGCCTGGCCTGTTCCGGATTCGTTATTACAGCGTCTTACTCGCGATGAAAATGAAGGAAACGATATTTTAACGGATGCTATATTTTTTCGCGACACGATAGTCAGATGACGAAGCGTTGAGTTTCTCGTGTAAATAATCCAGAGTATCGAATACGTGAGTTATAACGAGATGTGTAATTCTTGATTTCGATCACTGATTTTCGTTCGTGGTAAATGATAAATTAAAGAAGAATTTAATTTTAGTTTTGGTGAAATTTTGTTCTTTAATTCGAGATAATTCGAGAAAAATTTTTATAATTGCGTTACGCAATAAGGGGTGGAATTTCAGAAATTTGGAGCAAATGATAAATTCGAGATTTTAATTACAGTGGAGTGAAATTAAACTAGAAGTTTGAATTTTTATTATTGGGGAGATAATAAAGGGATTTAATTTTTATTTGAATTATTCTTTTCGATATTTTGTAGAAATAAAGGGATGTGAAAAATTACATTTGGGAATTGGGAATTTGATAGAAACAGTGGTAATATTTTTGGTAATTATTTGGTTTGAAAGATCGAATTGTTATAGGGATTTAAGTAAAAGTAAAAGGCTTATGGCAAGCTTTTCTGATTTATTATATACAAATTACAAACATGAAAATTTCTTTGTTTGTTTGAACACTTTGCTATTATTCTACCAGGTTTGTTCGATTAATTGGGAATAATTGGCCACGAAAATTCGCCTAATTGCAGGAGGTAATTTCGGTACTGCACCATACGCGAATTGTCACATATTTTTACAATGGGGAAAAAAGTTTCCGTGTGCACCACTCAGTCAGTCATAGTTTTTCCGACGTTTTTTAATGTTACCATTGATGTTAATGCATTTAAGGGTGTCGCGAAGTTTACGGAGAGGATTGTGTCGGAGATGTTTAATTTTGTAATAAATTATAAACTTATGTAACTCAAAGAGCCTCAGATTTGCATTGTCTTTATTGTTAAAATGTAATATCTAATAAACTTCTGTTATATTCATTATACGATATTTCATTACCGCTTGAAATCGTACATTAAACATTCCGTGTATTACAGCCGATAAATTCGATCAATTCGGCTGCTTATTTATAATTTAATTTCATTAAAACGCGCCGTTTTAACGGAATAAAAATATTCAATATTCAAGTTACTACGACGTTAAAAATATTCCTGGTTACACGAGCTCCGATGTGTTGGATAATTAATTATCCCAACGTAATCCTGCTCGTGTATAATTAGCATTTTATTGTTGTTTATCGTGCTTTCTTCCGTGCGAGTTTCCACGATATTTAACGTCTGAAAATATCGGTGAAACACCGAGCCGAAGCTCAAATTAGATATGAACGATAACTACGAGCATGACTCAGATAACGTATCAGGAACTCTGTATTTACCAATGCAACAGGGACCAAAAATTCGTATACAGCGGATAAATAAAAATTCCAATTAAATCGATACCCGAATCGATTAAAAATTATTTAATCCGACTCAAATTGAGTGAAACCGAAATAAAAGATTTACTCACCTGAAAACGAAAAATTTATATCGCTGTGATCTTCGCCAATTATATCACTTCCATTTCGTAATATCTTTAGCAGAGATCTCTGTTTATAGCGCGGCATTCGTAATCTCTGATTTCGATGTACTCGTCAGATACGCCATTTACGATTGAAAATATAAAACTTTACATAATCCCGACGAAAAGTGCTCATCGAGCTTATCGAACGTTTACTTACAAAACGGAATATTTTTATCGAAACAGATTCGTTACGATCTTCAGATAAACAGCGCCGAAAACACACTTCGTGGAAACGACTGGAGAAATTAGTTATCGAATCGATTCATAGAGGCGCCGTAGCGTCAGCCAGCGCAGCTGAGAGGTTATGTTCGCCGACGGTCGTAAATTGCAACATGGACTAAACCTTAAAGTCTATAGAATGGCGCCAGAGGTTTTCTCGACACGAGTATCTCGTTGTTCGAGATAAATGACGAGAATAATATGCATTCTATGAAATGTTTGTCGACTGTTTGTCAGCGAGATCATGCGACTGAAAGCTGTCGTAAATGCGTCTTAACATTGAAACCTAACCTGTCAAAATGACATTTGAAATTTTTTGTTTTTTTCTCGCGTAAATCCACAGGTATGTTTCATAAAATCAAGAGTGAAATTTGGAATGTATAATGAAATATACACAGGTAATAATAATTAAAGTGGTATAACGTAAATTCTATTCTTTCTAATACCCTGTATATGCTTAATTATTGACATCATACGACTTTAATTATTGTTATCAAGATACAACAATAATTATGTTAATTCTTTGTCTATCTTGCAAAGATTTGGTCTTTAATTGCAGTTTTGCTTAAATTATAATTATAGTTGTTATAAAATTTCGGTATAATTTTGATAAGATTTTCTGTCCAATCTTGATTGAGAAGCTGTTCCACAATTTATTGAACTTTGGTCGTTTTAGTCGTGCAAAGTAATATTTTATAGGTTTTCAAGTATTCGTTTTCTGCTCTTAAATCGCTCGCAATAAACACACGATTAAAAAGTCTTCGTCCACTATTGTGCATGATTGCAGCTCTCAGACTAGCACAAAAGGAAAAAGTCAAAAAGGATTCTATTCAATATTTTTGTCGATATCGTCCAAACCGTTATAAATAATTTATATCGAAAATTAGCGAAATAGTGAATACCAAAATGGTGAATTTCGAAAATTTTTATTTTCCTTCGTAACTTTTTAATAAAAAAAATTGTGTACTACAAAACATACACAAATTTCATTTCAGTTGGCTGTATAACTCTTCAGATTTTATACGTCACGAGAGAAGAAAACGCGGTTAAAATTCTCCAAGTACAAAAAGTGTTATACAAAGAGCCCTGTAGAAGAGTGTCTGTACAAGCCACAATACTCGTAATTGCTATTCCAAAATTTCTTTTCTCGGATGTACACGCTCCGAAAGGAAAAAAGAAAGCAAAATTTCAGATTTTCCATCCAGCGGATAAAAAAAGCCGCATTTCGAGAAAGCGGGTTTAAAGTTTCATAAATACAAAAGTGGTTATAGAAAAAGCTTGTGCCGGTGCAAGCCACGGTACTTGGGGCTTTTATTTCAAACTTTGTATTGTGAAATATACACAAAGCAAGTCACGCAACACAAGTAAGCCAATGTAGCTCATAAAATATTCACAAACCGGGAGAAAAAAAATGTTTCGCGGAAAAATTGAAGGATTTCAGGGAACATTCGAGATCTGCGCTTCTAATAAACAACAACTCCTTTTTAATAACAAAATAGGTTTATTTAATTAACATATTACACTAACAAGGAGAGAGCAAGTCCTTCTGGTCACCGATTTAATTGAAACTTTGTAGGTTTGTAGATTTCATCACGCAGTTCAAGAATGTATATCATTATAGCCGCATCAATAGTTTCTGAGATGTGTTGACGTGTGGAATATCGAAGAAAAATAATTCTGTGCCTTAATTTGCGTATGATTTCTCATTTACCACTTTAAAAATATCGTCGACTCTATGATAGCATGGGAGTCCTCCCCCCACCATCATTTGAAGTCGGTGGGTCGCAAGTATCCTCGTTGGCGGGATAACTAGAAGGGACCGTTGGAAAGGAAGGGATGCGTTTGGTTCCGGGCCTGCAAGTGGACTCATCGGTAAGGCTACCCTAGCAGACCCTGCTTTGACCCTTTCGGTACGGAAAGGACGGTCGCGGTTATATACTCGTGGTTCGAGGAAGTCTTCCACAAGAGTGGTTGCACTGTGGAAGCCACGAAAACGTGTTTTGCGGTATTCATAGAAATCTCGAGCGTGATTGACACTAAACTTATCATTCGGATCACGACAGTCATCGGTGATGTTTCGTGGATACCGTCAATAGGCGACGGTAGTACCCAGAGAACGTTTCATGGCCGCCGCCAATGAGCGGCAGTAGTACCGAAAGGGTTAAACATTGGGATACTATTGGAAGGACGGGAAGTTACATATATAGGAATTAGAGATTTTCCGAGGACTTGCGAGCAAGTCCTCGAAGTCGGAATCCAGCTGACGGTGAAAATGAGAATGATGGTCGCTACAATAGAAAGTCTTCGAATTACTATTTTTCTGTAACGAAGAAGTCGTCGAGTGCGAAAGGTTAATATAAGTTAAATCTAATATAACCTAAATCTGTTACCATCGTATAATTAGAGCAACCCTTCCGTCAAATTCACGGGTTCCTTAAATCTAGTGTTAAAGTCAAAACTCTCTCTTTTCATACATAAGCTTTCTCTCTGAATCACTCGACCCAGTCATAAATACCTCATCGATTCGCACACACTCCAGTTATCGTCCTAAACCGAAGCCTAAATCGAAGCCGATGTCACTGTTTATTATTCCCTTGCTAAAGCTCTTCGCGCTAGCAACCCCCACAATATCCCATAAAATTTTTGGTATAGCCAATTTTACTACTTTCACTTTCCTCTTTTGTCCATTCTCCGAGAGCGAAACGAAAATTGCAATTTTTAAAAAATATTGTCAAAATGACCGTGCTGTGTGAAGAGCTGACGACAACGAGACGAAGAAAGATCGATGATCATTGATAGCTCGTGACGAGATCGAATGCGGACGGAAAATCACGAGGCAACGATGAGATGGATCAATTGAGCTCGGCGCGATAAAAATCGCGATAATGAGAATACGGAAGGTAGCCGGTGGCAAATATAAGGCGATCTTGTTTAATCGCGAAGATAAGACGAAGAACGATGGCACCGCGTAGACATCGTCTGCGATCGTGATGGGAACGATCACGCGCGACGCACGATCGTTCTGAGGCCAGTTTAGGGTGTTTAGTCGGTTCGGCTGGTGAATCGAAAGTCAGTTGTTGGGATCATCGGACGAATTTTTGGACTCGTTGGGAAGCTATTCGTTCGACCAGGGTTGCGGTTAGAACATGACTGAGGTTCCATCAGCTTCGCGACTCGCGAGGGGCGAATTTGCAGAAGAGAAATCGAGTATGGAAAAATTCTGAAGACTTCGAAGACTTTCGAGGATCCGTTGCTGTTGCGGAAATATTCGGAATTCGTTGATGAAGATTTTGATCGCGTTGCTTTATGGTATTTGGTTGAAGCGCGAGGGTAGCCTGAATATCGTCGAAGAAATAGTAGGAGAATGACGGAGGACAAGGATAAGGATCTGAGCGAGGTGTTGTGCGTGAATAATCAGGTGAAGACGGCAAATGGTAACGAGAAGAGCGATTCCGATTTGTTGCAAACGAAAGTGTACAAGAAACGATGGCTGATGCTGAGTCTCTTCATCCTGTATACTGGGATGAGCAATTTCCAGTGGATTCAGTATTCTATAATCAGCAATATAGTCACCAGGTATTTGCATCGTGATTTTTGAAACTGAGTCATCCAAATTTTGACAATTTCCTAGTTTTCGTTGTTAGATAGTAATCTGTTTTGCCGAGAAAATGATTAATAATTGAAAAGTACAATATTAATTTTGCTTTATTTGATATATGGTATTTAAGTAAGCAGGTATGGTGATTCACACATTTCTTCATTTGGGTTTTTAGTTGGAGATATTTGCTCGTTAAAATTGTATTGTTTGACTGGTTTGAAAGGAAAGAAATTAAACGAGAAATTTGTTTATAAATTATGAATATTCCGTGAATATAAGAAATATTAAATAGTTAGTATGTTAATATGATAATAATTAGATACGTTTAAAAGTCAGAGATTATGGATTGATTAGAGTCATTGATCTAAAATTTTCCTGTTTTCTCCTCGACTTATCGCAAATTAAATATAAACTGTTAGACTGATACAAATTGTATGCACATTTCACACGTTTAACGATGATTAATTGCTTAAAATCCTTATTGCTTATTTAAAATTTCGGTGACATAAACAAGGCAATATAAATTTTTCTTCCTCAAATAAGAAAAGATAAGACAATTATCTCAAAATAAGTGAAAAAATTTGTGAATCCACGTCAATATAATATAATCGGATTTGCCTTCGAAAACCTGCACCACAATTTGCATAAAAATTACATAAATTATAAATAGTATTCGACACTATTAAAACAGAACATATCAATTTTTATAAATAATTACGTCACTGATACACAAAAATATGTCTGTGTTTATAAATAAATATGTCATCGATACCTAACTCAAAGTAGATAAAAACAAATAAAATAAAATATGAATAATTAATATAATCCAATTTATCTCTCAGAACCTGCACTATAATTCGCACAAAAATTAGTCGAATCGTAAGCAATATTCGTGAAGAAAAATTAGAAATTTGAATAAACACGTTTCTCAGGTACTATGGTGTTTCCTCGTTAACTGTCGACTGGACGGCAATGTCGTTCATGGGTTATTACGTGATTTTCATCCTACCTACCACGTACATGGTGGATCGGTGGGGCCTTAGGTGGAGTAACATTATAGGATGCAGTGTTACTTGCCTTGGCTCGTGGATCAAAGTTTTGTCCGTCAATCCTGACAGATTTTACGTCACCTTCATTGGACAATCTCTAGTTGCTTCTACACAGGTTAGAAATTAATTCTTCGCTTCTATTTCGTACATTTATTAATATAACCACATCGACAAATTTTACAGCTACAATTAAAGATAACTTAATAAAAGTCCCTCTTGATACCATGGAACGTGAAATTTGCTTAAAAATTGCAATTTCAGTAAATTCCGCCGTAATTACATCGAAAGTCTTCTATATCCATTAACCCTTATTTTCCAATGACACCATCGTGGCGATATTAATATATAACTTCGAATTTTCTATTCCAAAAAGAAAAGAAAAAAGCATGAAAATCTGTGAGAATTTTCTTAAATAATTTTTAGTTTAAAATAATAAAAATATCGCGGGGCCCTTAGAGGGCCTGCCACTTAGAACGAAATAAATATATTGCCTAACCAAAATTAAGTAACTTCCCAACATACTATTTTTCATAATTAAATCGTAACATAGAACGTCAATAAATATATCCTGAGCCATTTTGATACCGTGAAACGTCGAATTTCTTTTAGAAGAAAATCGTGAAAAAATTATGGTAGATTAGAATTTCGGCAAATTACTGAAAATGACGTCAAAAATGTGGAGAATTTTTACGAAGCGAATTTAAAATTCGAAAGATCGAAAGATAAGAGATGGCCCGAGCGCTCGAAGTAGTATAATACCGGTCGCGTCAGACCGTTCCGGTTAAAAGTAGTAGAAAACAGAATAAGCGGTACGATAAATCAGCGTTAAGCATCGGGCATAATATACGAGCTGGAACGCGATCAATTATACCTACGGCAATTATTATTATTTCATGCACGCCTGTAATCTGTTTGCAAGCTCAATTTTCGACGAAAATATTTAAAATCGAGTTTCCACGTTAAAGTATCGTATTTACAGAGCTGCAGCCGAACGGGCAGAGATCCGGGGCGCTGCAATAATCGCGCGAATTACAAACACGGTAGAAATGAGTTCGTGAAAACGTGTCGTAAATTATTGCTAATGCAAGGCATTACAAGTCTAGTCGAACTTTATGTACCAGGGGCTTAACCTCGAAGCACTATCTCGCGGAAAGATTTATGCTCGTTCACAGACTGCGTTGCGAGTTTAATGAAACCTGTGTGACTTCTGCTCCGAGATACATTGTAATTTCAGAGGCAACGAGAAGCTGTCTCGCTTGGGGAAAAGAAAATTCGAAGTTCTGTAAGATAATACAGGTGACGATTCGCGGTTTCGTCAACAGGGAGTAGAATGGAGCGATGAATATTTATTTACGAAGAATTCACGAAGAGGAAAATTTCCTTTCAGTGTTTGTAAATTTTGCAAAATTTGAAATTCTACAAGACGATGCAGGTCATGAATAGAACAATGTAGATAATTTTATTTACCAAGAATTAACGAAGAGAAAAATTTGCTTTCAGTGCTTATAACTTTTGCAAAATTTTCGAAATTCTGTTAGACGATGCAAGTCACGAATATAACAATGTAGAGAATTTTATTCGTGAAAAATTAATGAAGAGAAGAATTTGCTTCTAGTGTTTATAAATTTTGCAAAATTCGAAATTGTACAAGGCGATGCAAATCACGAATATAACAATGTAGAAAATTTTATTCGTGAAAAATTAATGAAGAGAAGAATTTGCTTTCAGTGTTTATAAATTTTGCAAAATTCGAAATTCTACAAGGCGATGCAGATCATGAATAGAACAATATAGAGAATTTTATTTGCCAAGAATTAACGAAGAGGAATATTTGCTTTCAGTGTTTATAATTTTTGCAAAATTTAAGAAATTCTACAAGACGATGCAGGTCACGAATACAACAATGTAGAGAATTTTATTCATGAAAAATTAACACAAAAGAGAATTTGGTTTCGGTGATATAAAAATTCAAAATTCTCTAAGATATTACAGATCACGATCCATGGTTTTGTCAAAATTAAAAAAAGATAGAAGAAATGAAATATCATACATTAATAGATAATAAGTTTTTCTTAGAACACCTAGTATAAAATCTGTCGTTTTACTATCGCTGCTTTCTTCCCTAAGAAGATTTTGTCAATGAATATATATAATTAGGACCATTGATGGAAAAGGAGTACATAAATATTTGAAAACTTATAAGAAAAATTATATATCATCCTCAAATCGTGATTTTTATTTTCAGAATAATTTAATCTATCATTAATAAATTATTTTTTATTGAGTAATAGATATCCTAATGAAAAGTGTGAATTGACATTTTGACACGTGACCCCCTTTTCCATCAAAGGCCTCAATTATAGCTAGCTATACAAATTTTTAAAGTATACAATTTTATCTTCTTTGGAACGAAGCTTGATCGAAAAGATTCGTTTAATTAGACGAAAAGAATTGCAAAAATATGGAGTAGAATTTTACATGGCGATTTTTCCTGTCAGACCATAGTTCTAACATTACCAGGACGCCTGGCAGCGCAATGGTTCGACGCCAACGAAGTTTCCACGGCCACGTCATTAAGCATTTTTGGCAATCAAATGGGAATAGCCCTAAGTTTTTTAATTACACCGATAATCGTGAAAAATCACGAGAGCCTAGACGATATTGGCGCAGGATTGTCGCACCTCTTTTGGGGCGTAGCTATCATCATGTCGATCGCGCTTTTGCTAGTTATTACACGTAAGTTTCCTCCAAAAAGTATCTTCCTTCTCTTATTACTAAAACATTTAAAAACTTTCCCAATTTTCGCAACTTTCGCACAGCCCAGTTCTAGAAACTTATCCTACAGCATCATAATTTTCAATATCTATAACACACTTGTATCAGAAAATTATACTACAGCTAACATTAATACCATGATCTTACAAAAGCTATACCATAGTTACAATCTTAAAAATTTACTCCACATAATTATCCTAGTATTCTATAGTATTCTATAAAATTACAGTATTCTATAAATATAAGTATTCTATAAAATTTATGATATATAAATTAAAAAATTTATAAATCTTCTTGAAGTCAACGTCGACAAGAAAAAATCACAAAATTAATCACTCGATACCCGTTAAATCCCAAGTATCCGATATTTAGAAAATAAAAATACCGATATTTATTATCTGATATAGTATTCGAAGAGGACCCGAAGCTGCCGCCAAGCAAAACGCGAGCCCTGCAAAAATTAAAGCAGATGGAGGTCGAGGAGAGCATCATACAACCGATCAAAAGATTATTCAAAAACAAGTATTATTTATTGCTCTGCAATTCGTACGGTCTCAGCATCGGGGTGCTGAACGTGGTAGGGACGCTACTGAACCAAATATATCTCGCGCACTTCGAGGTGAGCTGATTACGCTGATTGTTTGCCACAGATCATCCTTTTATTCTAGGACGTTCGAATTCTAGGGACATCCTGGGTTCGCCGGCGTTAAGAACGTCGATTATACAGGTCTAATTATGAAACGTTGAACATTTTGCAGCACGGTGAGGAAGACGCGGGTAGGATCGGTCTGGCCATGATCATTACGGGGATGATAGGTTCCGTCAGTTTTGGAGTGATTCTCGATAAGACGCATAAGTACAAGTAAGGAAATCTCTTCGCTTGTCGTTGCTCAATTCTCTTCTATCTCAAAATTATTTCTACTCTATCTTTGCACTTTGTACTTCTTGCATGAATCTCGTTCCTTTCAGCTTTCTTACTATCAGGTTTATCGACGAGTATAGGGGATGTTCCATTTCAGTTGATCTAGTCGAATGTCTTCGAGATATCGATGATACTACGAATTATTTTTGGACGAAAGTTGAATTCTTTTGAAAGATACATAGATAAAACAAAGCTAAAATTACAAAGATAATTTAATGGTGAAAACATAAAATATTTTTAGGTAGACGTATAGACTGTTAATCGTGGATATTATATTTAACCCTTTGCACTCGAGAGGCGACTCTCAGTCACCATTTAATCAAATTCTAAAGATCGATGTTAATTAATATATCAAATTTAAAATTACCTAACGATGTGTGGAATGTCGAAGAAAAATAATTTTACATCTTAATTTGCATATGATTTCTCATTTACCATTTGAAAAATATCGTCAACTCCATGACAGAAAGTCTTCGAATTACTATTTTTCTGTAACGAAAAAGTCGACGAGTGCAAAGGGTTAATTGAAAAATATTAGATATTTATTAAACAATATCATAATTCAGGGTAAAAATTATCGATGAACTATGAGTAATTACGTTTACACTTTCTCACGTCACTAGTACTCATGTTTACTCTGAATCAATTCTAAATTGTAACTGACCTATCCAAATAGTTTCTCATTTGTTCTCTTTTCTTTCATACATCATATAAATATACACAGTTTATACTACATTTCATTCATTACACGTACACTTGATCCACTAAACAATCATTACCACATAGAGGTCATGTGATACTTGTTATATATGAAGAATTAGGGGAAAAATGGGGAATGGGGTTTATGGGCACGTGGGTTAAATAGTTCATGGGCAAAATAAATTTCTCATACCTTAGAGTTCATCAAAGGAAATAGACCAAATTCGATGAATTTAATTGTATCATTTATAGCTTGAGACTCTATTTTTATTTAGTATACAGTCATTGTGAATGAGTATACCTAAAATCACCAACAAGTGAAAACGTTTCACCACCCCAATTTTCGGGTCGATTTTCATTCATTCAAAATGGACAATTACATATAAAAGGAAAAATAATTTATGGTTAAATAATTTATGGTTAATTATTTTTGGCTATTCCACAATCATCGAAATTAACAGTTTATATATATAGGTATGATCCTACATAAAGGAAGATTCTATTTATCCTTCACACGAAGGTGAATTTAATTTTTTAAAAGTTATAAAAATAATTTAATACTGAAAAGTATTTAAATACTCGAAACCATTCGACTATCGTCTAAAGCAATATAATCGATATCTACAAATATATTTAACTAGATCAATTTAAATGTGACACCTTGTGAATAATACGTATACACCGGATGATCCATTTCCTCTCACTCAGATTCGATACCTAAAATAGAAGATTAAAAATTTCAACAATTGTGAAAAATAGATAACATCGAGCACACGTGGAAATTATTTCGATCGTTCAACTCGTTAATTTATATATTCATTTAATTTAATATTAATTTACAATATTTTATATTATAATTTATGCATTCACTGATTCGATTCAAAATATTTTGGTTCGTATATACGGTTAATTCCTGGCTAAACTGATTTTTCGAGTTAAAAATACGCGTGTCCATTAAATTTTCAAAATTCCTATTTTTCTTTTTTTCTTTATATTGACGCGCCACCCTAAGTGCATTTGTTTCATAGAAATTGGATCAGCCTTGATATTATTAAATCAAATTTGCGATATTACCGTGTATATACACTTATCTCTCGCTGCTCATTTGTCGTTGTAATGCTTCACAAACGTGTTCTTTATTTGTCTCTTTTCTTTTTTTTTAATATTATGTAAGAAAACTGAGCGTATATACTTTCAGGGAAACGACTGTGAGCGTGTATTTTCTCTCGATGTGCGGCCAGATACTCTTTTCCACGTTCACGTTCCTCGAAATTAAATGGATGGTCTATCTATCGGCCATTTTCCTGGGGTACTGTATACACGTATCATGTATTTATATTAATATCGAATCATTTCAATTAACGAAATCACGGGAAAATTTCTTCGAATATGAAGTTACGCGGTTCATTAGCGCCATTTCGTTAATAATTAATTAATCACGCAAATCTTTATCGTTATTCCACGAATTTTGTGCGTTATTGTAGCTACGAAATTATTGAAATTATCGTAAACCAATCAAATTAAGCAAAATTCGTACACATTCGGAGTTCGTTTTATCTACTTCTTTAATTGCGACAAAGAAATAGTACTTTTTAACATTACAATACGATAAATTGTGTTTATCTTTCGAAACACATGAATTTCTTTTATATCCTAGTTTTATCTGAAATTATAAATTAATAATTCGGCGATAATAATATGGTAAAATTACTATATTAATTTTTATTAAGATTAAAATAATTACTGTTTAATAGTAAGTTTAATCGTTATACTAGAAATAGTTTCTAATTTAATTTTTGAATACTCGAAACGGAAAAGACAAATTTTTCAAAAATTTCGTAACTTCCAAAACTCGAAGATTTCCAAATCCCAAAAAATGCGAACCTTCATCTACTCGAAACTCGATCAATTTTCCAAATTTCTCTTTACCTAAATTTTATCTAATTTAATTTTCGAATACTCGAAACTGGAAAGACAAATTTTTCAAAGATTTCGTAGTTTCCTAGACTCGAAAATTTCCAAATCCCAAAAAATGCGAACCTTCATCTACTCAAAACTCGATCAATTTTTCAAATTTCTCTTTACCTAAATTTTATCTAATTTAATTTTCGAATACTCGAAACTGGAAAGACAAATTTTTCAAAAATTTCGTAACTTCCAAAACTCGAAGATTTCCACATCCCATAAAATGCGAAACTTCATCTACTCGAAACTCGATCAATTTTTCAAATTTCTCTTTACCTAAATTCTAAATGCCAAAAAAGCAGAAACGTATTACATTTCGAATTCGAAATTTCAACAAGTTCCCGAGCTGTCATCGTCTCGAAGCTCTCACCCTCAATTACCAAAATTTCTCTGTCACTCGTCTAATTACAAACGCGATATCTCGTCAAGCAATTCGGGAGCTGGTAATTGAGAATTTCTTCGTGCCCTCCGTCGACTGTTGGATCGCGTTATCATGTCGCAAACTGCAGCAGGGATCATCGTTGAAATCTTCATCCACGATTCCACCCCGGAACTCATTCGGCCGGAATTGATTCCGCCGACTCTAAAGCGCAATTACTTTCCGCAGGTACTTCTTGGTCGGTTACGTAGCCTTAGGATACGAGATGTGCGCGGAATACACGTACCCGGAGTCCGAGGAGATAACGGCGGGAATTTTGAACGTGGCTAATAACGTTTACGGCATTGTCCTTATTCTGATAATGGGTCGATTGCTGGAAGTGTACGGGGATATTCCGGTGCACGTGGGGCTTTGCACCACGCTGATCATCGGCTGTGTAACGACCATGTTGACGAAGGACGTGCAAAGGCGTCAGGACGCCAAAAATGGCAGCCATTACATCGGAGTTGAACAAAGCGACAAAGACAAGGAATGCAACGGTCGAGAGAAGAATTGACATTGCAATAACGATTTCCAATCTATCGTATCGATTAATTCTCTTTTCATATTAATTCTGAATTTTTGGAATTTTTAGAAAGGAAATTGACTTTCGTTCCTTTTCCAACACTAAATCCTTCGAAACCAAACGATCCTTTATGGCATGAAAAATTGAAAAATAATAATGTAGAAGCTGCGTTCAAGAATTTTTTTCGAGAGAAGAATTGACATTGCAATAACGATTTCCAATCTATCGTATCGATTAATTCTCTTTTCATATTAATTCTGAATTTTTGGAATTTTTAGAAAGGAAATTGACTTTCGTTCCTTTTCCAACATTAAATCCTTCGAAACCAAACGATCGTTTATGGCATGAGAAATTCAAGAATAAAAATGTAGAAGCTGCGTTCGAGAATTTTTCTCATCTTCGAATCTAAATTATGGTTTTTATAGAACCATAAATTTTTAAGTCTATTTTCCTCTGAAAAAGTGATTACAACTGTAAAAGAGATGACGAAACTTATTTATAAACTTTAATTAACTCCTATTTTAATATTGTAATTAAGTATCCAGAAACTCAGGAGAAAATCCGATAATGATTATTGTTACGATCATCGTCATTATTATAATGATATTTGTTGCTGAACGCGTACCGAGATTCTCAATTCGGAACGAGCGTTCCTCCGAATCCACTTAGTTAATTACCATGAGAGAGTTAATAACATTATAACAGAGATACTCTTTTTTAATGTATACTTCTCTTTTTATACATTTGTACATAGACAAGCTGGGAGATGATAATGTTGAGAGATGAGTGAGATAAGTCGTGTAAGTTAATGCGTGATTGTACAAAGGACAGGAGAGATTATGAAGAAATAAATGTAATTATTATTAACGAGTACCTGCAGTCTTTTTCTTCGTTCGAATTAGGATAAAGAAATTTTTACGATAGTAAACGAAAACAGGTATAGCAGTAGTAAAAGATTTTTATTTAATTTAACCCTTTGCACTCGGCGATATTTTCGTTACAGAAACATAGTAATTCGAAGACTTCCTGCCATAAAGTCGGCGATATTTTCAAAACGGTAACTAAGAAATGCAGATTAATTGTAAGACATAAAATTATTTTAAATTAATTATCTCTAGAATTTGATTAAATGGTGACTGAGAGTCGCCTCTCGAGTGCAAAGGGTTAAATCGTAATGAAATTTGTGTGTTGTAAGTTTGAGTGATAAAATAGCAAATTTATGACGCGTCGAAGATTAATTGAACAGATTTGTACTAACACGAATTTAGGCAGACTTGTACTAGAAAATAATTTATTTTTAGTTCTGGTAATAAAACGTAATAAAATAGTCTGGTAGTACGGAATATTTGTTCGAGTTACACATTGAATTCTAATTTTTATTCCATATCGAACGAGAAGAAGCAACAACACCGATGGGAAAAAATTAGGGAAATCTATTTGAATCGACCCATGAATTTCAACGAGAAGATTCGCTGTGCGAAAAATAAAATTGTTTGATTCCCTCGAAGCAATGTTCGCAATGCACTGAAATTTAATAAATATCTCCCAATTCGACTAAAAATATCCGTCATTTTTTTGCACGAATTTGCATCGATATTTCTGCTGTACTTTAAAATTGTTTAAATTAGGTATTATTTATTATTTAGGTAATATATATTATTATTATTATACATGCAGGAAAATGTCACATTTATAATTTTAGAGAATTCAAGTATATTCATTAATTGGGTTGCAAAACGTATTGTTACAATTTTAGAAAATTCTGTTTTGGGATTTTTAGGGATTTTTAGGGATTTTTTCTTATAGTTACAGATATGTTCGATATTAGATGAGAATACGAATAACGAATTCTTGGAATAGAAGTAGAGTAAGGATAAGATTTTAAGCGAAAATGATTTAGAAAAAATACAAAATAAAGGTGAAATGAAATTAAGGAAACGGTCGCTCTAATTGTCTGACCTTAATCCTATTGCATAAATTAGACTGAAAGTAGGATAAGTTAGACCAAGAGGTACAAAAACTGACCAGAGACGAGCAGGTAGAGCTGTAGAACATGCTACAGGAAGAATAGGGAAATATTAATGGAGAAATTGTAGAAAAGAAATTCATTGATTAATTTACTAATGATTTTGCTGAAGTTTCGAATTTATAGTTATTAGTTTATAATTATTAGTTATAATTAGTTATAGTTGACTGTGAAATACAATGGTAGGCCACTATGGAATTTTATAAAAATAGAACCATAAAATTCCAGAAAAATGAAATCTAAATGTCCTGCCTAATTCCAATCCAATTAATTTCTCACTTCGGAACGTGCATTTCACCGATTCAAATTCATTAATTTTCCAATCGTCCAGCGATCCTAAATCTGTCAACCAAATCGACAGCATTCTCTGATAAAATTTCTCCTGTATTTATCTCCCATCGAAAATTATTCATCGATTACCAAATTAATCCGAACTCACGATTATTTACAAAATAAAAGCCGAGATGAATATATATGCATTTATTAAATTATATAGGTGCCATTCTGTTCTACAATCTTTCTCCATCTTTCAGGCAATTTGAATATTCCAAAAATCGGCACGAGCTTTTTGAAAAACCCAATATTTCTGAACAAAACAGAATTAAACCTATGATCACGTCTTCAATTGCAAATATCTTAAAAATTATTGAGTAGTGGCAGTTATAATCATATACCTTCACCCTTAGGGGAACTATATCTACCATCCTAGAAAATTTGAATTAAATCTGTGACCCGAAGGACTTGCAGTCTCCTTGTGAGATAGGAAACATCGGCGAAAAGCAAATTCGAACCTGATCCGTGTTGTTTACAAAATCCTATATACAAGCCAAACCTCTCGCTCGTGATATTAATGCTTAGCTCGATTTCCTTACCACGAGTCTCAGACGATATTTTAAGCGACGGGGTTGAATTCGGGAAAAAATGAAGAACGAAAAGTAAGGAAGATAATAAAAGATAAATAAATAAATTACAATCTACTTGCCAAATTAAATCCAAAGAAAAAAGACAGGGGAGAAAGAAAAGCAATAAAAGATAAATAAATTGCAACCTATTTGCCAAATTAAATTCACAAAAGAAAAGAAAAAATAAAGGATGGAAGACAATAATAGATAAATAAATAAATTAGAACCTATTTGCCAACTTAAATTCACAAAAGAAAATTTAAAAAAAGAAAGGAAGACAATAATAGATAAATAAATAAATTGCAACCTATTTGCCAAATTAAATTCACGACAGAAAATTTAAAAACAGAAAGGAAGACAATAATAGATAAATAAATAAATTGCAATCTATTTGCCAAATTAAATTCACAAAAAAAAAAATAAATAAAGAAAGCAATATAATGACAAATAAATAAATTAAAAAATTACAACCTACTCACCAAATTAAATTCACAAAAGAAAATTTAAGAAGAGGAAGGAAAACAATAATAGATAAATAAATAAATTGCAACCTATTTGCCAAATTAAATTCACAAAAGAAAATTTAAAAAAGGAAGGAAGACAATAATAGATAAATAAATAAATTGCAACCTATTTGCCAAATTAAATTCACAAAAGAAAAAGTAAATAAAGAAAGGAAGACAATAATAGATAAATAAATAAATTACAATCTATTTGCCAAATTAAATTCACAAAAAAGAAGATAAAAAAAGAAAGGAATATAGTAACAGATAAATAAATTAAAAAATTACCATCTACCAAATCAAATTCCAAGAAAAAAATGGAAAGAAGTAGGAAAATAGGGAAAATAGAAAAACGAACAAAGATTCGAGAAAAAGATCGGGCGATGGAAATTCACCGATCCGCAGGAAGCAAATGAATGGATCGCACGAAGGGGTAGGCGCTAGAGAGGGTGGACTTTTATCGACAAGGAATACTCGTCCTTGTTTTCAGGTAAAAGGTACCGGGGCCCAGAGCCGAGGTATGTAGTGCGCGCTGCGTCTGACACGTGACATGACGCGTGCACCACTTGTTACTCGACCAGAATACTTGATATACTCGATCAGAGAACAAAAGTACCCAATGCGGAGTATTATATTTTGCGCTTTCGATCAACCCGGCACTCCTATCTGTCCGCCGCAGAACGTTACGTAGATTTCATCTTGACGCTCGGACTAGACATTATTCGTTCCCCGTTTGCTTTTTACCGTGCCTGGCGAAAAATTATCGGGATCCAGCGGGATACGACCGTTTCCCGTTATAGATCACCAATCGATAATCCGTTGTGGGAATAATGTTATATCCCGTAAGGTATTTTATAAAACTAATAATTTTAGGAATAAAAGGTATCCTCGTTTTTAAAAAAATTAATTGTTTTCGATTATTCAGGTACACTTTGGTGATTTCACTTGATGTTTTCCTATTTCGAATTTATTTATGATATTTCCTGAATTTTATAGGATTTTGATAGATAATTGGTTTTCAAAATAAACAATTTTTTTTAGAGTTCTTGTAATTTTCACGTGAATTTTTTTATTACCTTTAAGGTGTATAATGAATAAATATCTTCGTTTTTAAAAATGTAATTTGATTTTGGTTAAATATTTCTTATTTTTTATTTCAATGCTTTCTTTTGATGTTTCAAACGTGTTAATTCAGTAATCCTTTTTTCTGGATTTTATATTTCTGGGAATTTTGTCACGTGATTGATTTTTATAGTCAAAATATTTTGTTAGAATGCTTCTGATTTTTTAATTCTTTTTTTTTCTGTGAACATAGTGCGTGTTATGGCATTGGCACTGAGAGTTGGAGAATTATTTCAGTTGTATTTTATTAAACAAAACGCAAAGAGAATACATTGTCGAATATACACTTTATCGTCTACTACCATATTCATAATCATTTTCTGAGTCATAACATAAAGGAAAGAATTTTAAGAACACGGTATTTTAAGAATTAAATATTGATAATAGCTGTGAATTCGCTAAAAATATTTTAGGCCAAAATATTTTAACTTGAAGTTCAGTGACATGCTATAAAATCAAATATATTGAAAATTCTGTTTTAATTATTTTTCTCTGTAGGATGTAAATAGAAGATTTTTATGAACATTAATTGCGAGGGCAGATTAATTATTCAATTATATAAAATTAAACATATAAAATTTTATTTTAATTATTTTCCTATGTAGGATGTAAATAGAAGATTTTTATGAACATTAATTGCGAGGGCAGATAAATTATTCAATTATATAAAATTAAATAAAATTAAATGAAATTAAATATATAAAATTCTGTTCTAATTATTTTTCTATGCATGATGTAAATAGAAGATTTTTATGAACATTAATTGCCAGGACAGATTAATTATTCAATTATTAATATAATGTTAAGAAATACGATTAATCTTCGTATATTTTTCAAACTCGA